AAGATGGATGTTTATAGTAAGATCATCAACTATGCTTAAATATAGTTGTAGAGAGTGTATAGTCTTACTTACTACATAGAATTCTGACTCTTCGTCTCTTGTGAAATGTGCGTTGCAGGATGTCATATCTAATTGTGACTATCAAAACTCTAAGTAAGAGCTTGATAAAGACTGCATTACATACATCCAGTTGAGACTTCGATTATGCTTCTTTATGCGAGCCTAGCCGAGAGCCTAGGACTCCAGTATATGTACAAGCGTACTAATACGGGCGTGTCTGATGCGGTGTATATTTTTTGGTGGGGAATTGGGGAGCAGCTGCGCAGCGCTGTTTGACTAACGATTTAGTTATCATATCTGCATCATCGTGTGTGAGTCGCTGCTAGGGGAACAGCTAGCAGGTTATCGTGATATTGGTCGACCAGAGCTCGAGTGACGGCTCGCAGCGGCCGATCATCATGACCTTGAGTACGAATGTAATCAGGGGGCTCTCAGCAGATACGATTCCAGTGAAGCTCGTAGGGATAGATAACCACAATGTCAGCGATACTCGGAGCGAGCGAGGCAGCCTGAGCCGAGTAGATTGATAGGCAGCAATCACAACAATAACAATGTAAATAGTGCCTATTAGCCGAGTAGTAAAGGCGTACAACTCTTGCAACAACCAATAGTGATCCCTCGTTCTGCCGACGGAAGGTACAACCTCACTGACCTACACAACTTTCCCGACTCTATCTGCTTCGTTGCGCTACCCATAAACCTTTACAATCTAGCAAATATCGAATGCAATCGCCACAGAGATGCCCAACTACGCGCGACAGAGTTCCCTGGACCTGGACGAGATATTCGGCCACTATATCAAGAACGATAGCAACGCCGCCATGATGAGAAACATCCGTACCAAAGAGAGAATGAGCAGCGCTGTGGGTAGCCGGGAAAGACTAGTCTTATGTCGAGAGAATACACTGACCTCTCCAACCACAGCATCACTGCGAGGACAAGGAGTATGGCGGTGGCCCATCAATGAGATGTGTCAGCGCGCTGCACTTTTGTTGGTGTCTCGCTCCGGTCGTCGATAAGGACAAGAAGTCAGACACATATGGCGAAGTCGTGATCTGTGGGCAGCGCTTTCAGTGCATCTCCCCCAAAGGATGCGCCGTGCATCCATACCTAGCGGGCTACAACCTCGACGTCAAGAACGCGCGCAACAACTATCCAAATGTCAAGGTCGAGTGGAAGGCCATCTTCGAGTCATTCAAGGCTGAGCACGATGCAGCTGTGGCAGACAAGACGGAGCAACAGGAGTTAGTGAGGAAGGAGAAAGAGATGACCGAACCTCAGAAGAACCGCTACCGGAAGCTGCAAGACCAAGCCGCGTTCCAGAAAAGCCTCGAGAAGGAGCCTGACGTCAACCAAGAGGAAACTGCCCAGGAAGTAGGACAGTCTCCACCATGTCCACCCACTACGACTCCCGTCCGACCCCGTCGAAAAGACACCAAGAAAGCCAAGAGACAGAGAGCACGCAGAGACCGTGATAACGCAAAGGCCGCCAAGGAAATGGCCGAGGAAGATGATGTGTCAAGTGAGACAAGGGGTCTAGAGGTGAGACCGGCGTAAGAGCAGGCAAGACGCTCGCGAAGCTAAGGATGGTTACCCGTGGAAAGACCGGAGGGCCAAATTGACTCAATTTTCCAAGGCCTGTCGAAAGAAGGTGACATTATAGCATGGTGTGTGAGCGAGCATAGGTTTGGTGGATAATATGGAGTGTGCGTCGGGATAGTGCTAGCCCTGGAGAGCTTTGGCAGTCAGGCAGCAAGAGACTTCGAATGACAATGTTGAGACGTACAATATCGCGATCACATTGAAACACGCGTTATATCGCGTCATGACGGTATGAACTGCCGCTTTCGACGTCTTGAGCATATGTCGACGCGTAGCGTTGTTGTGAGGACGCGCACGAAGGAGCGTGGCCATAGCGCTAGCCGGTGACGTTTGCCGGTTATGTAAGCGCACAGCCATGTGGATCCTCGGCAGCTGTCAGTCCATGCCACTACCCACAACCCTAGCATCCAAAAATGTACTCCTCCATCAATCCACGCCAGTCTCCCGTCTCGTCCGCGCAAGCAGCAAAAAATTCACTCCTCCGGGAAGGCTCGAACTTCCAACCTCCTGATGACTGCTACTGCGAGCTGTAACAGTCAGACGCGCTAGCCAATTGCGCCACAGAGGATAACTGAATTGTGATGTGCAAATCCTCGATTGACTGGACCGTGATTCCAGGGCGTGCGCAGTCCGTTACGCCTTCTCCATGCCGACCTACGGCTTCCCAGTCCATACAGGTGGGCCCGGGATGTTGTATACCTAGGTAATGTCGTCAGCACAAGGCTCTTGAAGCAACCCGTGTCTCTATCGAGCGTACCGTCTTTGCCGAGACCTCGGGATTGTAAATGTCGATGTTGATCTCGGGTTCTATCGACGATCAGTCGCATGCTCTTTCTGGACATTGGCATACGTACGGTCCATACTCCACACGCCTGGAATCTTGACCATATACTCCTCGCTAGGAATCGAGCCTCCCTCCTTATCGTTCGTGACTTCCAAATGCGCGCATTCGGGGTAAAATTGTGGTTCTGAGCGACCCAGATCATTAGCGAGTTGCACCTTCCGTCATCTTAAAGAGCTGCATCTGAAGGAAGGAACCTTGGACGTACTGTTCGCGGAATGCAAGCTGATGATCTCATGCCTCACCAAATATCTTCCCGCCTTCAGCCCTACAGGCACCGTCTCACTCCATAGACTTGGACTTCCGTCCCACATACTGAACGCCTTCTGGAACCACTCTCCAGTCTCGATGCTCCCTTCCAGCAACCCCTTTTCACCAATCTTGAACCAATCTGCCGTCTCGCTAGAAAAGGTCGCGCAGTCATTCTCGGCGTTGTCGCAGTATGCCATCCAGGCTATCATAGGACCGACGGTGTGCACCCAGTACGAGTATACGGCGGTTATGTTTTCGCCCGCGCGAATGGGTATGTATGCGCGGGCGGGTGCACCGGGGGTGTTGCAGGAAAGAGACGTGTTGGTGGTTTCGAAAATGGGGTTGTTGGATATCCATTTTCGTTGTGGCATCCATGCGGCAGCGTCCTGCATGGCCTGGTCGCCATAAGGATCGTAGCTATGAAGAGCGTTAACTGGATCGACTTGTTTACATTCTTTGAGGACTCTGCATCTTGACCTTACCCAGGGTACCATATGTCTCCGACAGTATAGTTTAGAGCTCCGCCGTGAGCGGAGGCTCGATGGGCTAAGAGCACGGTGGTGGTTGCAAGGAGAGGCCACATGGTGATTCCCGTTACTCTGAGCGACATATGACTACAGGTAACTATACGACCAAGTTGATCTGTTCTTAGGAAAAAAAATTCTGTCTGTTTCGTCTGCTCAAAGTTGCTCAAAGAAAGCAGGACGACCGCCGCGAAGCTCCCCACATGACACCAATGTCCACCTCATATAACGTACCAGATATTCAGCGCAGCCACCCTTCCATCCGCGGGTTTGAGTAAGCAGCACTCATTCATTGCCCTGCCTTGATATTGCGCTACTTTCCAGGCCTCGCGAGGCTTGCATAAAAGCTGCACCTGACGTCAAGCTTCCTCCGGCACCTAGAGCAACTGCGTCAGTCTTTGACTATGGGCGAGCCAGTAGCATCAAGTCCCGGTGTTTCAGATCGGCAGTCGCAAAGTGATGGACATGTATGCAGGGATACACACATACGCGGGTAATATGCGAGAATGCTTGGTATGAGGCTTGATTGCGAGCACCTTGCTGTTTACCCGGAGTTACCTAACAAATGCTCTGATACACGCCGTACTTTATGTGGCACCACTGTGTTCGAAAACTACATGATGAGATGAAGACCTCAACTTCCACGAATGATAGCCGACCCCACTCTGTTGATGCATAGTATGTGCAAGTATATAACGTCCAAGCTTGAACTTGAGACCGTCAAACTATCTACAGCTCCTCCAAGATGCTTATCCAAATCCTTACTACAAGCCTAGCACTTGCTTCAGGTGTTTTCGCCGCGCAATTGACACAAGTCTCCAACTATGGCGGTAGTGCGCGAGCGAAACCAGGCATGTGAGTAAGACTCCTCCCCTCTTTGGCCTCTGACTGACACGCCACCCAAGGTGGGTGTATGTGCCTGACCAGGTCAAGAGCGATGCACTAGTCGTGGCGATCCACTCATGCCAGTCGTCGGCACAGCAGTATTTCCAAAACTCCCTGATTCCATGGAAGAAAGGGTCGGATAGCAAAGGCTACGTGACGGTCTGGCCAAGCTCCACGACTGAGTGTTGGGATGTATCCAGCAAAGCTTCGTTATCGCATAACGGCGGTGGCGATTCGAACGCGATCGCGAACATGATCATTTATGCGGTCGACAAGTACAAGATCGACCCCAAGAAAGTGTTCGTTACGGGTGGCTCATCAGGTGGCATGATGAGCAATGTTCTCGCTGCCACATATCCCGAGCTCATCAGCGCCGTGTCTCTCTACTCGGGTGTACCCGCTGGGTGTTTCGTCTCTGCATCCGGAGCGGCAGCAGCATGGAATAACACCTGCTCTGGCGGGCAGTCCATCTCGACTGCGCAGCACTGGGGTGACGTAGTTCGAGGGATGTATCCCGGGTATAACGGAACACGACCGCGCATGCGTAAGTCCCAGGTTAAATGCGCTCATGAACCACGTACTGACTTCTCAAGAATTCTGGCATGGCTCGGTAGATGGAACGTTGAGCCCGAAAAACTACGACGAGACGCTGAAGCAGTGGACCAACGTGTTTGGCGTCAGTACCACGCCGACAAGCTCGAAGAAAGATACGCCAGAGCGCAACTACCGCACTGACGACTTCGGTCCGAGTGTCGAAGGCATCTGGGCAGTAGGGGTAGGCCATAGCGTTCCTTCGCATCTGACCGTATCGGAAGCCTGGTTTGGCCTGTGACCGGTCAATGGCTCTCGCTTCTACGGTGCACTTCCTTTGGTACTTCTAGCGTATCCCTTCGTACCGGTTTTCGAACAGGGCTTATTTCGGGACGCGGCGAATCTTGTATAGGCGGCGGGGATGTACTGCCCTCGATACCTGACGTAGATGCAATGCTTGCCGCATATACGCTATTTTCTCTTTCTTCGCGGAGCTTGCTGTACGTGCGACTGATCCGCTCTAGATCGGGGTTCCGAAGAATTTCGCCAGGAACCTCGGGGAATTTATGAGTGTCTTCGTCGTTGCTGACATGCTCTGTATCGAGCTTCTCATGTGCTGCGTCGCCCAGGTAATTGCCAGCAGACGTCAGCCACTTACGCACAACGTTTCTGCCAGCTGTCGGCTGATCGGTTTGGTTGTTGTCTTGCTGACCATCATGAGAGGAAGGACTGGGGTGAGGATGCTCGGAGCCGGGGTGCGTGATGGTCGGGATCAATTCCATAGCAATAGGCGACTCTGAACGTATGCCTAGGCCTGTCTCTGAGATACGTTTGGGGTTGCAGTCGACGGAGGATGGAGATCGCGGAGATGGTCGTCGCTCACTACTACGACTGGGGCGCGATGAGCCAGAGTTCTCATAATGATGCCCGGGCTTCTCTTGGAGAGCCTCATCGCCACCAGTCGACCACAGGATGTATAGAGAGCCTAGTGCTGCCAAGATCGTTCCAGCTATAGGTGACCATTGCCCTAAGCACTCTGTCAGCACCGATCATACCACTGCGTACTCTACTCACCAATCGAAGCCATAGGCTCTGTCATATGTCGCACCTGAGGGCTGAAGAAGTTTGCTTCGCCAACCCCAATGATTGTGATAATCACCCCGCCGAATAAGGGAATCTCTATGACGCTCAAAAACTTTCTCACTACGTTGTTGATGCCTTTCATCTCCCCAACTGTCATGTTGGCCCCCTCGATCCGAGTGTCTAGCGGCTCCACGTGACGTCGTCGCTTCCAGTTGATCTCGAGGATTTTATCCCACGTGAAAATCAGAGACAGTATCGCAGGTATGCAGAACCCGGCGGAGAGCAGCATGGCGGCATTGAAGGTCAAGATGCGCGGCACGGGAATGACATAGACGTCGGCGGCAGATCCACCTCGCATCGGGGATTTCGGACCCACGCTTTCAGAGCATGTCAGATTGCAAGTAGCATGCTCGTACGGAAATTTAGCGGCACTTTGAAAAGGATTCCCACTATCGTCGCTACTACAGGCCGTTGAAGTGACCCGGTAGAATTCGACGCAGAGGGCCAGCAGCCCCATCAAGATCAGTATTGTCCAGAGGAATATGATGTTGCGACCGGGAGACTGGAAATAGGTTCGCGACAACCTCACAGTGAGAGGCGCGGCTAAAATGCCAATTGCGCAGAACTGGAAAGCCTGCACATGCGAAATCGATCGATCAGCTTTGTCGCACGGCATATTGGCACCAAGAACTTACTCCGTAAATGTCCATATCGACGCCGCCTACAAAGTTTCTTGGTCAGATGTGGGCTTCTTGGAGTTCTTGGTGGCTGTTGTACTGACCATTCGTATGCGCGGCTGCTAGCACGAGGGCCTGCAGGGCCGAGATGGCCGGCAGAATTAAAACGGCAGCCAGACAGGTGTTCCGTAGCCATTCTGCTTTGCGAAATGTTACGCATGCGGCGACGAGAACATAGTACAGGATCTGTATTCATGCATCAGTTTTCTGATAGGTCCAGACCCGCTCTACACGTGGTATGGAGTCGGTACTAACACGCGACCCTGCTCCATAGTTGGAAGAAATGGGCCAGGCACAGACGACTTGTAGCGTTGGGCTAGACGTCGTAGCGGTCGAGGTAGCGGTTGCAAAATCGGATAGCGCTCTAGTTGCAGACATGCTTCCCTGGTATGGGTAAAGACAGATGAGATGAAGACATTGCTGAATGAGCCGTCACGAAGGAAGAGGAGCGGCATAGGTATGCGTGCTGCGCATAAGGGCGACTCCGGGGTAAGGCGTGCCATGTCGATCTCCAATGGTTTGGGGCAATGCAGATTACCGGTGAACTATATCGTCTTCGCCTGTCGCAGTTGCATAGGGCGAGAGGCTGAGTAGAAAGCCTGACCTGTCAGCGCTGGACCCTTTCTCGATACGGGAGGCGCTACTCGCTAGCGGCCCAACCGGCGCCGAGGTGCCATCATCTTCTCATGCTGGGCTGCGAGCTCCGCCTCCTGGGCTGCAGATGTCGCGACAATACAAGAGCCTCACTTGCCTGCCGCCATGCCCATGTCGCGCGTCATCGTACAAGCAATTTCTCGGCGTCGGTACTGAAGTCCACGGTTGCGACAGAGGCCCAGGCACGCCGGCTCACAGATCGCCTGCAACGTCTAGCGGGCGTACGTACCCATCAATCGGCCCTTACCTAGAACCCAAAAGCTTGTTCTTGCACGTTTTAAACGTCAGGACACCTCCTAGGGTTTTTCTGGCCCCAAGATCATCTTGCAGTGTGGATTTCCAGCATTGCTACGGGGCGCAACATGTTGATTCAGCGCGCCACAGAGACCGAGAGGCCTGACCTTGATACTAGCAAGATCAAAGAGTGGCGCTCCATAGTGACTCTCATTGTTTTTGTACTGACAAGTAAGTAGCATGTGTATACTGACATTGTAGATGGCGGACTAACGAGGAAATGCTGTAGACATCAACGTTCTGTTTCCATTCCACATACCCATCTATGTGCCGCGGATAATATGGACCCCATTCATCAAGACCATGAGCGCGTTGCGCATCATCGCACCACCACAACACCCAACGAGGGTCCGAAATGGCAAATCTGGGCCGTTCGTGCGGTTTGATTTTCCCATGAACTTCATAACAACACCTCTGGTAGCCGATCTCTTTCTACTAGCTATCCTTGCTATTGGCGCAAAAGAAGTGAGAGGCGGCACCCTTGGTGATCAGGGCATCGTTCCATACGACATCATGTTATTCTTCCTATCCCTTGCTTACATCGCCATCTCTGTCGATGCTTCCGGTCTCATTAGATGGCTAGCTTTCAAAGTTTTGCAGAAAGGAGGAAAAGTCGGTCATCGGCTTTTCTTCTACCTGTATGCCTTCTTCTTCCTTCTCACTGCGTTCATCGGTAACGATCCGGTCATCTTGTCTGGCACTGCGTTTCTGTCGTACATGACGCGTGTATCAAGCAACATCAAGCACCCAAGGGCGTGGATCTTCACTCAATTCTCGGTCGCCAACATCGCATCGGCGATACTGGTATCATCCAATCCGACCAACCTGGTCTTGGCCGGCGCGTTTGGGATCACATTCATCAAGTACACAGCAAACATTATCGTACCAGTCCTTGTCACAGGAGTCGTACTGTATCCTTTCTTGTTGTACATCATCTTCCACGACGAATCTCTCATCCCCGCCTCTATCAAGATGGAAGACCTTCCAGATGAACTGAAGGTAAGCAAACCCCACAAGGAGGTGTTACAGTATGTGCTGACAAAGCTCCCTCCAATAGAACAAGAAACCGGTCAATCCCAATATTCCCTTTGCCAAAGGTACACCGGAAGAGAACGAGAGCGATCCCAGCAGCGACGATGACGAACAAGAGAAGAAGCTGTCCCTCGAGGAAGTCCTAAATCCCTTCTTGGATAAGAATGGCGCAATCTTTGGAGCAGCGATTATGGCAGCTACCCTGATTACTGTCTTGGCGATCAATGCTGCTTCTCAAGGCTCTCATGAACGTCCGGTGTTCTGGGTCACTTTACCCGCTGCATTCGTCATGCTTATCTTCGATCTTACAATGGGTTGGCTCAACCGGGCAGAGACACGTAAGATCGCCCACGAGGGCCGACGCAGGGCAGAGGCCGCACTCGCTGAAAGAGCCGAGACTAGGAGGCAGTCTGTTATACAGGAAGAGCTGGACGCGATCGCCAAGCAAGCGGATCACGATACGGCCCAGAACCCCGAGGAAAAGTCGCAGCCATTGGCTGAGGCGTCCAGTCACATATTGAGCGGCCGAACCCGAGAGATGATGGGCGCGGAACTTGTATCACAAGAAGAGAAGAAGCTGGAGCCATCCAAGAGGCCGATGCCAACCACCCTCGCGTCACTCGTCGCAGATTCGTATAGATGGGCACAGGAGACGTTTCCGACAACTATGACCGTCTTCCATCATCTTCCTCTGGCTCTCGTTCCTTTTGCCTTTTGCATGTTTGTGCTAGTTCAGGCTCTGGTCACCAAGGGATGGGTTCCAGTTTTTGCACATGCTTGGGACCACTGGGTTGAGAAGACCGGGACGGTCGGTGCGATTGGCGGCATGGGCTTCGTCTCAGTCATACTGTGCAACGTAAGTCTCGGTTTCACCATAACACTCCATTAGCTGACCGTTGACCAGTTTGCTGGAACTAACATCGGTACCACGATCCTCATTTCCAGGGTGGTCCAATCGTGGCAAGAAATTCACCGTCAAAACGGCATTCCAATCTCCGATCGAACGTTCTGGGGCACAATTTACAGCATGGCCATCGGTGTCAATTACGGTGCTTTCAGTCTTGCCTTCAGTGCATCGCTGGCGGGCATGCTCTGGCGCGATATCTTGGGCAGAAAGCACATCCATGTCGGCGGTCTGGAGTTTGCGCGCGTCAATCTGCCCATCATTGCGATCACCATGCTTGTTGGTTTAGTTGTTCTCGTTGGCGAGATCTACATCATGAGGACGGACGCTCCCTATGATAGCTGATGAGGCAGAACATCAAGGCTGTACATATGGACTGCGAACTGCGATGTACGCCGCATTAAAAGTATTTTTTCCTCTTCCGACCTTCGCAGTCGCCATCGCCACATTTGAGCGTGCATCAACAGTCTGGAATGGACTGTGTTCCTCCTGCGTTCGGGCAATTGTACTCTTCTGAGGCTTCGTGCTTTGAAGGTGGTACCAGGCCCAGCGACGAGACAAGCGCCGGCCGTTTATGAGAAGGGACCAAGGGATCGATTAACGGCGGATGAGGTATTGGGATAAGCAAATGGGGAAACGGAGGCTGGAAAAGACAGATTCACCACGAGGCCGTCATCCACACATCCGCAATGGACGACGAGGATGGGCCGATGCAAGATTCTAGACTATAGACGCGCGCGAGACCAAGGCCGGAACCACTGTCCACGTCTTAATCAACATTCTACTCATACCCTTTCTTTTAAACGGTAACACGAACATCGTAACTGCCCGGTGTCTCAAAGCTCGGTCCCTTTCTCGTGACACCACCGGTATCGCGTTAGCGTGTCGTTAGCGCGGACCCTGATATCCGCTATCCCACGCCTACGACTCCCGATACTTTCACAAGAAACATTCTCAGCTCAGCATCTATACCTGATCTCTTAGTATGGCCAGCGCGACCCCTTTCCGCGACAATGGGCCTACGCTCGAGGCTACCGAGGCAGAGCTGTCAAGGTCAGTGATCACAGCGACAGCTACAAACGATTACTCACACCATACAGGCTTCTCGCAGAAGAGATATCCGTCCAGACCGAGTAAGTCTTGTCTCTGAGCGATCGCGCAAGGTTTCATATCTAAACTCCCACGCAGACTCGACAAGTTAAAGAGTAAGGTTGCAGAGCTTGAACTCAGGCGAAGAAATGTGGGCAAAGAGTGTCGTCACCTCACCCGCATCGTCGCTGAGAAGCTGTGCCTCAACTTCGTCGACAAGTTCCACACCACTCTACCACCAGAGCTCCGCGAGATGGTCTATGACTACGTCTGGGATGAGCCCATGCTCAGGCTGGTCTTCCATGACGTGACCTTGTGCGAGAAGACTTCGAACACTACAAGTGTCCCACGGTCCGTCGCGTCGAATGGCCCTCGAGTGCGGGACAAGTTCAATTTGGCGCCTTGGTCCGCGACCTGCGGGCGAGACAGCTGCCGCTGTTTCCATTGGTGGGAGCTTCCACTCTGGGTCCAGCACCAGTATGTCGGAATGGACATCGCAAGGGAAGTCGCCAAAGCGTACTATCGCAACAATTCCGGCCGTCAGTTGGATGCTCATCGCCTCCATGAACTGACCGACTTTCTGTCTGAAGATCACTTCCACCTCGGCGTCAAACCTCTCGACCACATCCGCCGTCTAGAGCTCTCCTTGGAAGAGGACTCTTTCATCAAAGGCGAGGACCGATTGGAATACTTTATTCAGAGCAAGGACGGCCAAGACACCTTCCAGCACCATTTCGAAACGCTCTTGGACGTGCGTGTCAAGAAGGGTTTCCACCTGACGATCAAGCTCCAATGGAACGGTGCTGAGATCTACTGCATGCCGGCTCTGGAGCGCTCCCGTAAAGTGGTTCACGCGTTGATGAAGGAAGGCGCCAAAGTCACTGTGCTTGCTTTTGAGATGAACTACCGCAAAGAGTACAACGTCTCAGATTACTACGCACTTGCGCCGAAAGACTGGCAGGAAAAGTGGATAAAGAGGGTGCGAAAAGCCCTTCGCCTCAAGCGCCGTCAACCTGCATCACTCAACGACTCCATGATGGCGCTTATTCATGATCACACTGAAACTGATATCAGTATTTTGGACAAAGACCTCGTGGGTGATTCAGAACAAGACAGGTTGGAAGACGATGCGTTTGTGAGGGCTATGGCTGGCTTAGAAGCTCCTCCCGACATGATCGGTCTTCTTTTTCCCATGTGACAGCTTTGGACACGCATAAGCTGTTGGTCAGCGTCTGGAACGTCCGAGCTTATTCCTGGATACTACTGTTTGAGTCCAAACTAGGGAGGCACGAAGGGGTATACTTGGCCAACGGACGGAACATTCGGTGTTGCAAGACACTTAGGGTCTATCTCATACTGCTGTAGCCCTTCGATGTATAATAAGACAAACTTAACCCATCACCCTTTTCTTCACATCTATCGCAGAGTATGGCAAAAACAACCCTCTTGTAGACAACCAGTTCAGACAGTATAAGTGTTGCGCAACAGCCAAAATGGCGTTGCAAGATAAGTTCAATTGATTCATCCCAGATCCCCACCAAATGTTTTGTTGCCTAGTAAAAGGACCCCGCGGGCCATCTCATTGCTCCGCATCCCAACACCAAGAAAACACCCTCAAGGATGACCACAAATCAGAATTTCCCCTCAAAGAAACAAGCCCAGCAATAAGAAGGCTCTGGCGATTGCAGGCCGAAGAGTAAACGCCAAAACGCACACCCAGATGTTTTGTGACCAGAAGAAGGAAAAAAAGGAAATCGACCCGTACCCGACCAGCGCCATGCTTGCTATGTACATTTGCCGCAAAAGAAAAATGGAAAACTAGAAAAAATCCCACACGGAGATTAGAAAAGTAGCGATTAAGTGGTATCGTGCTTTGGACATTACAAGGAACTTCGTAGACAGAGGTGTCGCTGGATAGAGATGGTGAGTCCAGCGAGAAAGATCAGATGAGAGCGCAGCAACATGATGCATCACTAGCGCTACGCTGCGGGCGAGGTCATGGGTGAGATGGCGGGCGATTCGTCGGCACGCCGGTTATCGCTCGTTCCCGAGACGATGGTGAATGGCGCCGTGGACCCCGCCGCTGGTGGGGCAGGCTTCACCGCTACACCATTTGGCTTCGGCGTCAAGACCGCAGAGCCGGGTGGCGTTGTATCCGACTCTTCTTCTGGAATAGTAGGACAGTATGTTTTCAGGACGTGTTTGAGGGCGGGGCGGCGGATAGGTTTCGAGAGGAAGAAGTCCATGCCTGAGTCGAGGCATTCCTATGGCTTGTTAGCATAACAGTAGCGAGATCAGGACGCTGATTACATACCTTCACGTTACTCTCCTCCGCGTAAGCTGTCAGAGCGACGATGGGGGCCGAGAAACCAGACTGCCGGATCAGTCGCGTTGATTGTAGACCGTCCAGGTTGGGCATTTGGACATCCATGAAGATGAGGTTGTATGGAGCTTTACGTTCCATACTTTCCATAACCAAGTCGAGCGCTTCCTGGCCGTCCTTTGCGACAGTGACATCGTACACGTCTTCGAGCTTCAACATGCGCAGTACAACCTCTTGATTTGTCTTGTTATCTTCGGCGACGAGCACCTTGACTTTGTCTCCACGTTTCGTCGCTTCGGCTTCAACGCGCTTCATGGCTGCGACCTGCGAGTTTGGTGATTCCAATGGCGCATTGGAAGCAAAGAAAGGCTGACTAAGGCCGACAAGACGAGGCTGGGTATCGGTGTCGAATGCAACTGGCCCGGACGGAGCAGTAGCAGCGGTGTTCCCAGCGACGATCGGGCCACTTGTAGCGGACTGTATCGAGCGGGCCGAAAGCGCGTCATCATGTGAGCGACCTCGCGGCGGCTCGTCGATCGATAAGCTGCGGCGCGGTGTCCCGGTTTCCAGGTTCACGTTTCTGGAGCTGGCTGTACTGTCGGCCCGACTTGTAAGGTGCTTTAACGGTATTACCATAGTGAACACGCTTCCGTGTCCGACCTCACTCTTGAGACCGATCGTGCCCTTCATCAAACCAGCCAGCTGCGAGACGATACTCAGGCCAAGACCGGTGCCACCAAACTTCTTGCTTAGACCCAAGTCGCCTTGAACGAAAGGCTCGAAAATCTTGGCATGTAGATGGTCAGGAATACCTGGGCCAGTATCCTCGACCTCGAACTCGAAAGACAACCACCGTCCCGGTGGCGGTGTTGGGGCTCGCTCCTGAGCCATATATCGGGAGAACGCATCTCCCTTGCCCATGACGTTGATAACGTTGGCGGTTCCGAAGTTGTCGCTCGGTGTCGCAATTGAGACGGATCCTACCTCTGACGCGGAGGCTCTTACGCGGGTTTTCGAGTTGCGCGTTGAGCTCTGCCGTGATTGCAGAGACGCCTTGCGACTGTCTGACATGTGTGCCTCTCCAGGACAACGGATAGTGAGCGTGACCGAACCACCCTGTGGCGTAAACTTGAGACTGTTCGATACCAGGTTGATGACCACCTGAAGTATCCGATGTTGATCGCCGTACAAAACCATGTCCTTGAGTCGACCAAGCCCGAAAGGCCCGAGATCGCGAAGCTCGTTCGGCCGCCCGCTATCGTCCAGATTGTTTTCGTATGGTCCCTCGAATTCGACAGCGAGCTTGATGCCGCCCTCTCTTGCTTGCTTTTCGAAAATGGCCAAGACTTGTGAGCTGATATCTCGTAGCCGAAACTCTTTCTCGTCAAGACTGAGCTGCTGACCGACCTGGTTCTTGCTGAAAGTTAAGAGATCTGTCAACAGATTGAGTAGCAAGTCTCCACTCTTGTAGATGATGCCCAGTGACCGTCTCAGCTTGTTCGGGTCGTCTTCCGACATGCACACGGCGCACATGCCCAAAATACCGTTGAGTGGCGTCTTCAACTCGTGCGAGATATTCGCAATGAATAACGTCTTGCTCTCGTTGGCCGCCTCGGCCGCCTTCTTGCTCTGTTCGAGCTCAGCTGTTCTTTGTGCCACCCGCTCTTCCAGCTTCTCATACTGCATCATCAACTCATCCGTCATCTCGTTGAATGTCGTTGTCAGATCCGTGAGTTCATCGTGGATGAAGTGTTTGCGGTCCTTGACTTTGCCTGGAATTCGGAACTGTCTCCGCCTCTCGGCTTCCTTCTTTTCTGCTCGGTTGAGTTTCGCGTTTCGCCGGTAGTGTATAATTTGACCAAAGAAACCCTCTTTGCGTGCCAGGGCCGCGTCTTCCGAACTGTCGTTGGCGCCATCGTTTTGCGAGCTGAAG